GCATCATCGAATCTCTCCAAATTGATTTGGAGGATTCTGCTTCGATTCAGAGAGATTAATGGGTCTCCTGATTTGATTCGGATTTGGAGATTTGGCCACCAAATCAGGCCAAATCTCCTCTGAATCGAACTAGTGACCAAAGCTTCGCACAGCCCTACTGTGTAGGTATAGACCTCATTTGGAATACCATGGATCATTCTGGTCATGCATGTTCAAGAGAAATGAACTTGAACTGGCACAGTTCAAAGGAAAGAGATAATACAGCGATCAAGAAAACTGAGAGTCTATCTGACAAGAACAGACTAAAAGGGCTTGGCTTGGCTTGTCTCGCCTAGAAAAAGGAAGGTGGAGAAAGGATTGCTGTCTATAAATACATCAGGGGATAAATACCTGGGAGGGAAAAAGAATTATTTAAGCTAATGGATAATGTTGGCACAAAAGTAAGTGGGCATAAACTGGCCATTAATACATTTAGGTTGCACACTAGAATAAAGTTTCTGTCAGAACAGTGATTTTTTGCAGCAGCCCCCCAATCAGAGAAGTGTTGGCAAAAAATGTAAGTACTTATAACACAGACTTGGATTAAATTATGACAGGGATTGTCAATATGACATGGAGGCATGCAATAGCAGGGACCTGGACTAGGTGACTTAGGAGGTTCTTTCTAGTTTTGTATTCTTGGAACTGCACAACCACAGAATGGCAAGTCCAGTTTACTCTCTACATGCCAAATGAAAACATGCTGCTACTGGCTTACATTTGGTTCTCACATTCATAATATGATTTATGTGAGAGGTTCCTACACCATGGAACAGGGACCAATAGTAGCCTGTAGAACAGTTGCAGGGGTCATGCAGAGATGTTGATCATCTAGGTGCAGTACTCTCTTTGTTCCCAGCTGCAAATATCTAAGATATACATTGCAAGAAGAGCCTGGTGGCCTTTAAAGACAGTTGGAGTAAGGAAGAAGAATGAACCTTGCTGCCTCTGCTGGATGCCATTGTTACACAAATAAATAAGAAAGCAGAAATTGAAGCACATATTATTATTGGAGCTGGGAAGTAAAAGGTACCAATTGGTGCAGGGGACTGGACCCGATGATCTTCCAAGGTCCCTTCTGGCCTTACAATCTATGAATCTATGAATTCCTGAGAAGCACATCTAGAGGAGAAGGGAGCCAAGCAGCAAGGAGAAATAAGGGGAACAGTGGATATGTACACATGCACATACAGTATATGTTATGCCGTGTAAAATTGATAGAGATTTGGCATTGGGTTCTATGAAGTACAGGAAACCAACAAAGCTTTCTGACTGTAACATGAGGGTAGGTTCTGATCCCAGGTACAGGCATGGAAACAACCACACAAAGTTTGAACACTAAAGCATCATAACATATAACAGAGAATGATAGAAGTGAAGAATAAAGATAATGACAATTTGAATAAGAGTTCAAGTGAGTGAATGAAATAACTCAGTGATGACAGCACTGTAAAGGAAAGCACCATGTGTACCTTCATTTCTGCTGAGTTCTATGTCAGCAAACAAGCCAATTTTGATAACCTGCCATAAAAGGCCCAAGACAAGGTAAGGTTTCCCCTCTTTTAAGTCTTCAGCACCAATGTTAACAACATGGCACCCAATAGCTGAGGCGGAGTTCAAGGCGAGGTTCAAATTTTCCTGGGGAGGAAAAAAAAGAGAGAGAGAGTTTTATTACAATGCAATAACTCAAAATGGGAGACAGGGAGGGAAGAGGACAAAGGAGAAAAAACGAGTAAACTTAAGTATAAGCCTATTCAGAATTAGGGCCTAAGTTGTGTGATAGCTCTGAATTTTCCAGGACTGAAGGACGCTTCAGTGTCCCAATGCAAATTGGAGAACCTGCCCTTGGCCAGGATAAGAAGCTTCTGTTTCTTACCTTGATGGGTCACAAGACATTATACCTTGAGCCTCTCACTGGTCCCAGCCTGACTATTGCTCATTCTGGCCATTATATGAGTATCATACAGAGGGGAAAGGAAGAGAAAGGCCATATTTTGAGAAGTGTGGGAGGGAAGGACGTTCCCCATCCATTCTTCAAGATGGGGAACCGAATGAAGGAGACATTTCAGACAGGCCGAAATTCTTATGCTTTTATTTTTTTAAAGGGGTAGTCTGAATTTGATCAAAGGTTTGGCGTGTTCAGATAAGTCTCTGAGAAAATAGATTAGTAGGCAGAGATCAGATGAAGCAGACATAGGGCCTTAGCAAATGGCATTTATCACACGGCTTTGCAATTTATCACATGAATTTTGCTACCATATGGAAGGGCTGATGGATTTGATTAGATAGAAAACACATACAGGTACCAAGCATGAACTGAAAAATTCACAACACTGAAAATTAATTGTCTTCTCTGTACTTGACAGTTGTAAAAGGGTTAAGCTAAAGCATAAGCTATATTGATTAAATCATGCCTAAAACTGACAGGGATTGATCTGTGCTGCATCAATAAGTTGTGTTGCTGACTCTAGAGAATTAGTACTGGAAAAAATGCAGATTGCAGCACAAAAACCCAAAGTAATGGCTTCTAAGCTTACTTAATCCTGGCTAATACCTCATTTAATCAGGGATAATGGAGGATTGAAGTGGGTTACATTTATATACAGAATATATATCTATTTATATATATCTGTACACAGATCTATCTATAAATATATATAGAGATATCTATCTATCTATAGATATAGGTGGGTGGCAAATTGGCTTAGGGGTTGCACCCAGAGAGTGGTGGTGGATGGGTTGCTATCAACTTGGAAAGATGTGGGCAGTGCAGTCCTACAGGGTTTGGTCCTTGGACCTGTGCTGTTCAATGTCTTCATCAGTGACTTGGATGAGGGCATGGAAAGCACTCTGTCCAAATTCACAGATGATACCAAGTTATGGGGTAAAGTTAACACACTAGAGGGTAGGGAACAAATCCAGGAGGATCTGGACAGGTTGGAAAAGTGGGTGGAACAGAATAGGATGCCGTTCAACAAGGACAAATGCAAGGTACTGCACCTAGGGAGGAGGACTCACCAGCATGCTTACAGGCTAGGGGAGGACCTTCTAAGCAGCACAGCAGAGGAAAAGGATCTCAGAGTCGTTGACACCAAGATGAACATGAGTTGTCAATGTGAGGAAGCGATCAGTAAAGCTAACCACACTTTATCATGCATTAGCAGGTGCGTGACAAGCAGGTCCAGGGAGGTGATACTTCCCCTCTGTGAGGCATTGGTCAAGCTGCAGTTGGAGTACTGCATCCAGTTTTGGGCGCCACACTTCAAGAGGCATGTGGACAACCTTGACAGGATTCAGAGGAGGGCCACTCGTATGGTTAGGGGCCTGCAGGCAAAGCCCTACGAGGAGAGATTGAGGGCCCTGGATCTCTTCAGCCTCCACAAGAGAAGGCTGAGAAGTGATCTTGTGGCTACCTACAAATCCATTGGGGGGGCCATAAAGGAATAGGAGATGCTCTGTTTACCAGGGCACCCCTTGGAGTAACTAGGAACAATGGCCACAAACTGACAGAGAGCAGATTTAGGTTAGACATCAGGAAGAACTTCTTTACAGTAAGGGTTGCCAGAATGGGCTTCCAAGGGAGGTGGACACACACACACACACACACATATATCTACATTCCATTATAGGAAAAGTTGAATGAGCTTGAATTTAGATCATGGCAGGAATATTTTTGCTTTTCAGTTCATTTTAAATAATGTTTGTGGGCACAAAAAATAAAAATTAATTCAATGCTCAGGTTAAACAGATAAAAATCAGAAAAGAAATGTAGTTGCTAGGGTTCTAACAATAATATTAACCCATGCATGTTGTATGTGTGTAGTATTTGTACATCTCAGCTGGCATTTTATTAGACTGGAATTCAGGAGATAGGGTTTCCATTCCTATCTCTGCACAGATTATTGTGTGTTCTCAGGCACATCACCTAATCTGAGTGCTCAGGTGCCTTTTAGTATTTGAGGAATTTAACTAAATTTAAATTTGTTGTGGTCTTCATTGAGTCTTGACGATTGAACTCTTATGGCACCTATTACCTGGGAATCTGAGGCTCAAGTCCTACAAAAAATTACCTTCTTACTTAATTTTAAGTTTATGATTTGGCCCCCTCACTTCAGCAGGATTACTCATGTTTAAAATTAAGCATAGGTGCAAATGTCTACAAAATTAGGGCTAACATATTTTACTTGGTCACAAGCTGTGCCTGGCTGTTTTGGGTAGGGCTATGATACTGATAGCATTAAATTTAATTAAATACAGAAGAGTGACTCACGTGGAAAAGCACAAAACCATACTCCATCTTTCAGTTACCTGTATTGTGAAGGGAGTTAGTTTCTTTTTGTTAATTGTCCTTTCATCAATGGTATCCGGAACAGAAAAGTTGATCATTTTACTGGAAATACAAGAAAAAATACAAGTGAGAAATATGCCACTAGCTACACCAAAGAGGTTCTAGCACACCTGTGAAAAAACATCAGGATCTGGCTTATGTTGAATATGCAAACAAACATAGAAACCAGTGGGTTCTTTACTCTGAAGTCCTGCTTCCATTTCTATTCAGTCTTTACTCAGGAAAACTCCTGCTGGCTCCATTATCTCTCCACATATTCCAGGGACAGAGACATTCCACTTTGTAACAAATCATGTATTTAGTTTACAAAGATAAAAACTATTTAAAGGGAAAAAAATGTAGTACCTTTTAAGAAAAAAGGATCTTGAATAAGAGAGTCCCTAAGGCACTGATCCTACCAAGAATCACACCCATGCATCCTTTTAAAGTCAACACAACAGATCATGGGATTCCAGTTAAGCATATTTATTTATTTATTTATTTACTTTTATTTTTTTGCAAGATCTAATTCTGTAGGGAAATCTTTATTATTTACCACAGTACGATGCCATCACCAACTGCCTGAAAGAGGTCATCAGTTTCTGGATTCATTGGGAGAACATGCTTGCAGTCAGGATCATTCTCAAGGGCTTTATTAATCCAGTTGACAAAGGCATACTTTTCTTCTTCTGCATATATAATGGTAAGTAAAAGTACATGAGTTTGCAACTTAACATTTCTATGATTATTTTAGATATAAAGGCTAAAGTATGGGAAAGATAATGTTTCATATATTTAATCAGAACTAAAAAGTGGCCATCCTGTGGATGATGTAATATGGATCTACCAAACCCCAAAGTAACTCTGAAGGAGGTGTTACCTCCAGGCTTCTTGCCAAACCAAGGGGGGAACTGTCTACTACACTTCAAGGAGCAATATTCCGTCTTTTCAGCTGGCCTTCTCCACTGGTTCATGGGACCATAAGTAGGTTTGCCTGGCGGTGGGTCTGGGGAAGTTTATGCACCAGGGCTAAGGACAGACATTACACATAAACCAATTTAAGTGATCAGAAACTGGTTTAAACCTGTAACAGAATAGATGTTCAGTGCACATAAAGCAGTTTGAAAATGGCTGAAACCAGTTTGACATAAACCTACTTGAATGTAGTATCAGACTTAACTGATTTGGCTCAAACTGGTTTATGCAATGTCTGTCCCAAACCCCTTGCTGGTTTAAGATAAACCAGACTCACCCATCATCCCGACATGCTCTTTGGGCTGGGCGGGGCTCCCTGCTCCACAGCAGGGCTGGCTCCTCCCCTCTGCTGCCTCTCTGGAGCTCCAGCAAAGACTGAAGGTGTCTGCCTGGGTTCTCTCTGCTAAGCAGGGATTATTGCCCCCACCTCTTTGCCTTATACCTTTCAGCATTAGCTAGCAGACCACATGCTGACTACGACAAAGGCAGACAGGCGTTTTGGAGCTAATCAACAGGGAGCTGGTAAAATCCTTCTTTGGAAAAACTGTTTAAGAAGTGAAATAATGGAAAAAGGCTTTGTTTTCTTAATGGGTTGATAAACACTGAGTTAAGAGTGATAAACATTCCCTGCTGGGCTACTCAGGAGGGATGGGGCGGGGGGGGGGGGGGGTGAGGGGGGGGGGGGGGGGGGGGGGGGCATCAGAGTGTCCTGCCAGGGCCTGGCCATGCCCCTCTCAGCTCAGCCTTGTGGAAGGGAAGGGAGGGCATCCCCCCCCGCCAAACTTCTAGCCTGAGCCACTGAAGGCATGTGCCTGAATTACTGGAATAAAAAGGGAATTTCTATCCACTTCCAAATCAGTTCAGACTTTGCAGGTTAAACTAACCTGTTAAGATTGAATCAATTCAGCCTTTTTGAATGTCTGTCCCTAGCCCAGAAGACCCTAGGAGTGGTAGTTGCACCCCCCTGGCAGTGACAGTCTTTCCTGCTTAAGCGAGATAACTTAGCAAAAGACTCCTTCATTCTCTCTTCCACGTAAACCAAAAGCAAAGGAACCAGGAATCACCTGGTCCTATGAAAGTTGCAAACAAACAAAGAAATAGTAAAAATATTAGAATATTTGCAAATAAATTCTCCTACCACTGATGACAGTGACATCAGTGTAACCCACAGTAAGCCAATAAGAAATGCTAGGCCTGGAGGACTGTCTGAACTCCCAGTCCTCTTGGGAGCTTAGGAGTCCAGCAGGGCTGCATATTAAGTGCCTCCATATATCAGGATCCAGAGCACTCAGAGAGATGTCCATTAAAATCCACCAAACACACTGGCAGCAGTATTGAGCTCAATTTAATCCACAGCACACCCATTCACTGTACGACCTGGGGAGGAGGGGACAGGAAAGGGAGAACACCTTATGTTTAGAGCATTTGCTCAGCAACTTTGTTGTCTCAATGTTGGCTACCCTGGAGTAAAGGTAGGCAATGGTACCAAACACTGGTATAACTATCTCTGGTATAAATGTACTTCTGACTTTCTCTTGAGCAAACGCTGTGTTGTGTATTCACTCTACTTTTCTTCTGAGGTCATTTGAGAATGCTCCAGAGTAAAGGTGTCATATTTCTGCATCTTTTGGTATATAAACTGATTTGATGATTAAAAGAATATTTTGTATCTAGCTATAAGATCCATTTTCAAAGATATCACAAACACAAAAGAGCCGAAACCTAAATCCTAGTCCTAAAGATGCAGGGTTATTGGTTGTAGACATGTTGGCCTAAGGACATAGGCAGGCAAGGTTCTTTGGGTAGATGTGACATTTTTTATTAGACCAACTGAGTAGTTGGGAAAAGGTTCTTTGCAAGCTTTTGGGCACAAGCACCTTTCTTCAGGCACCGGGAGACTCTGCTGTTGTTCTGAGATCTCCAAGATAGGAAGATCTCCAAGATAAGAAGATACAATTTTCATTCCTAAATCACTTCAGTGCCTTCAAAACTTCTATCCCGGAGCCTGAAGCAGTTTTAACAGACACAGAAACATCCACCACCTTCAAAATCAAGACTTTCTCTTGACATGAAAATTTCAATGCTTATCAAAATGTATCTAGCACTTCCCCCACATTGATCCTATCCTTATTAGAGCTGAATGATTATTTAAAACAGGAGAGACAGCACTCTGCCAAGATGCTGCTCTTACGTGTCCTCAGCTTTATTATATATTGCGTTATGTACATATAATCCAAGACACCCACATTGTTACTGCAGTTCTATATAACCGAAGCTGCAGTTTTTTACCAAAGTAAATTATGAAATGATTTCCAAGAGACCATCAAGTTTTAAGTACTATCAATATGATCTGACTGTACATACCTGAATAAGAATGTTGTGTTCCAACACTGGACTGTTCTGAAGTTCCACCAATAGCACAAAGCCCCTCCTTTTTATTGATTGCTTTTCGGAATGTTTTAGCAACATCTGAACTCTTCAGACCATGGACAATCTTTGAATACACAAGTTTATTTTAAAATTTGAAGTTTATAATAAGACAATGAGACCTGTAAAATGGTAAGGTTTCAGGTGATAAATTCCTTGAGACAGGGAACATGGTTTTTTCTATGTTTTGAACAGAGGTGAGCAAAGTGAATAAATAATCTGGATTACTTTTAATAATTGCTCCAGTGGGATTTTGCAGAGGCAATTCTTACTTTTATGGCTGATTTTGCAAAAGTGGGAAAGCTTTTTCTGTTTTCAAAGCATCAAAGTAAAGGGTATCTAATTCATAGGAAAAAAGGGCAAATAGTATTAGGACAATACAGGCTTTGAAATTTGGAGATGAAACTTAAATAATTTAGGTTTTTCACAGAGGTGAGTGAAAATCTGGGTTTCCTTCCTGAGGAAAATTCTGATACTTTGACATTTGTTTCCGGCCAAAGAATTTCTTCAAATAACATGTTCAACCTGGAAAAGCTGAAATGTTGAAATGAACCTTCAACCAAAGAAGCACATTTTGACATTTCTGAATCAAGACATTTCATTTCCATGTGCTGAACCAGGTCAAAGCCTTTTAAGTCAATGTTCAGCTGCAGCTAAATAACTTGTCATGCTGCACTGCGATAGTTGTAGTTTGCTTGCCTCATGTTCTCATCCTTCCTGATGATATGGGCTCCCTTGTGAAGCTACAGATACCATGATGCACTGCAGTCTTCAAGTGATTATACAAAGACCATGCTGCAACTTGAGAGATGTTATCTGGCCAAAAACCAGGAGCGTAGGATAGAATGGCAGCAGGATATATTTCAACTACAGCTCTCCGAAAACACCACGGCATCTTTATGCTGAGGCAGGTTAATGTTAAAACGATTCTGAATGTGATCTTTTGGTTCCATTCACCAAATCAAAGTGTTTTGATCTGAGTCAAGCAGACCCAGAATTAAATATTTTATTTCAATTTCCCTGATGGAATAATAATCAACAGGGATCCTGGTTTTCTCTGATAAAAAAAACAAACAAACACCAATTTTTGGTTTAAAAAAAGCAACCCAAAATCCACATTTTCCATGATTAAAATGAAACACTACTAATATATATATATCTATACACCATTAATATATATATTAGTGGTGTTTCATTTTAATCATGGAAAATGTGGATTTTGGGTTACATTTTTAAAAACAAAAATTGGGGATTTTTTTTTTTAATCAGAAAACCAGGAGCCCTGAAAATAAATCAATAAAATCATAACTTTACCATAGAAAATGCCAATTTTGTGGAGATGGTGTATTTTGTCAGAGTCATCTTAACAGATAATCCCTGACCAGTTGTCATTTTGAAAGTGAGGCTTACGGGTTTTTTTCCCATTCCTTTTTATAGAACAGTCTGTAAGATAATGTTGTATTCATAACATTGCACCTACTGAAATAAATTCATCAAGAGTAATCTTGACATCTTGGTCTGCTGCAAGCTTCTCCTGAAGGATTTCTCTCACTCTATATCCTGGCAGGGGGAGGTTGGCTGCTTTAAACAGTTCTGTTAACTCGTTAGCTTGGATGAAGCCATTCCCATCAAGATCTATACAGGACAAAACAGCTGCTTAGATTTTACAGCAGTTTAATGTTAATTTTCAACACGTGCAGTGACTTTTCCATCAAAACAATGACACTATAGTGAAAATTAAACAAAAAAGGTAAGTATTTGTGTCTTGGTTAGATATATAGTTTTACATTAGCAGTGCAAATGAAAAGATATACGGTATTTACTCACATATAAGATGAGGTTTCCCCCACCACAGTCAACATTGGAGGAAACCTCATCTAATAGCTGAGTAAATATGCTAATATAAGATGAAAACCTTCATCTTATATTAGCATACAAGGAAACCTCATTAAGTACATTGTCTATCATTAAACTGCTGCTAAAGGCAGCATGTACTCAGTAATGGAAACCTAATGGAAATAAAGTTGATTAAATCCAGCCAACACTGAGCAAGACTATAAAATACATGGCCCACATAAGGCAAACATACTCACGGTAACTCTTTGTGTGTTGGGGGGGGTGGGGGGTAATGTATACATGTGTGTGGCCCTTCAAAAAATAGGCAGTTGCTCCTCCAGGAGGGAACTGGCACCAGGCCTGAAGGTTCTGCAATACCAATGCTGAGCTATTGGGGCTAGGGACAGACATTACACATAAACCAGTATAAGTGATCAGAAACTGGTTTAAACCTGTAACAGAAAAGATGTTCAGTGTTCATAAACGAGTTTGAAAGTGGCTGAAACCAGTTTGAGATAAACCTGGTTGAATGTAGTATCCAATTTAACTGATTTGGGTCAAACCAATTTATGCAATGTCTGTCCCAGACCCATTGCTGGTTTAAGATAAACCAGACTCCCCTAGCATGCCAGCATGCTTTCTGGGCTGGGCGGGGCTCTCTGCTCCACAGCAGGGCTGGCCCCTCCCCTCTGCTCCCTGGCTGCAGCTCCTGCCCGCTGCAGGCATCTGCCTGGCTTCTGCTCCCCACTCCTCCCCTCCTCACTATCTGCTAAGCAGGGATTTCCTCATTCCTCACAGACACCTCTCAGCATTAGCTAGCAAACCACATGCTGGCTACCTCCAAGCTGTGGCACACGGGACAAAGGCAGAATCAACAGATAGCTGGTAATGTCCCTCTGTTGTTTTCTTAATGGGCTGATAAACATTGAGTTATCACTCAGTGCCACCCCCTTCAGGTTAGCTCTGTGCAATGGAAGGGTGGGCTGCTCTAGTGCCCCCCAGCTTCTAGCCTGAGCTACTGCAGGCATGTGCCTGCATTTCTGGAATGAAAAGGGAACATCTACCCACCTCCAAATCAGTTCAATCTTTGCAGGTTAGACTAACCTGCAAAGATTGAATCAATTCAGGCCCAGGCTTTTCGAATGTCTGTCCCTAACATGGGTCACAATGGTGTGAAATGCTACTATCTCTGTTGGGGCCCAGCCCAGGGACCTATAAGGTAATTCATGAGCCTTTCATCTTTAGACTACTATTATCTCGGCCTTTTGGCTAAGATCAAGTGAGACTAGGGACATCTGAACCCCAAGGCCTCCAGGTCTGAGGCTTGCATGTAGGATGCTTGCCTGGATTTGGGGAGTATCTAAAGCCCCAGACTGATGGGTCTGGGAAGAAGGATAGTTGCCTGGTGGTAGAGCCACACAGACTTGATGACTGAGTTCTACTCAGTCAATTTTTTAAACTTGACTATTGGGCTTTGCACAATTGAATTTGGAACTGATTTGGCCCTTGACATTTATATATATATATATATATATATACACACATACAATTTATATTTTTATATATATATATCTATATATCTATATATCTATATATAGATATATATATATATACACACACACACACACACACACACACAATTTCAAAGGCCAAATATATATATAAAATCATCTGTACTATGTACAAGTAACTACAGAATTGCTGCTTAAAAATGTATCTGTGGAGTACCTGTGCTAAAATTTGCAGCAGTTTCAAAAAAGATAAACTGCATCAATTCTGGATGATCTAAGTCTATGGGTACCCTATATGCAAATTACTACAGGTTCATTTGTAGGTGGGGGTGGCAGAGGGCAAGGGGGCTACTTGACCCTCCAGATTTATATTCTCTGCTGTAGCAGTGAAAGGGGGATGAATTCATGCTGAACCTCCAATTCTACACCTGGAAAATTATAACAAATGTATATATTTTCCATATATAGAATCTAATTATTGGGGGTCATCTAATATTCACGGTCATCTTATATTTGAGTAAATATGGTATATTAAACTTATAGTATTTTCAGTAAACACATTTACTTTTCTTTTATTATATTATTTTATTAAGATCTGAAATGTGAGTGTGAGTTTTGGGGAGATAATATGGTCCATGGGAATAATTCTTAAAAGGGCAGAGATGCAATGATACTGGCGTGTAACTGACTGTCTCCTACATGTCATTTCTGATAAATTCTATCTCAGTGACTCTAAATAATTATAACTTACATGCTAAAAAGTTGGAAAATAGGGGATAGCAAGAGAGAGAAATTAGATCCAAGTTAAGGGCCTGTGATGGCCACTACCGTTGCTTATCACTTTCCCAGGGATGCATAGAACTTCATAGGGTCAAACCTACAAGGAATTCAAAAATTGTGGGCATATATGGGATGCTGCTAACTCTGATAGTCCTACTCAGTCAATGTCACAGTACACTGGCATCTGTTTCATACTATGTCACTGGCATTGCCATCATTTTAGAACAGTATTTTCTTCCCTTTTGGTGTGTAAACCCCACCAGAAATAAATCAGAAAATTTACAAGTTCACTGCCCCTATAGGGGAAGCTGCAAAACAAACACAAAGTACTACCAGATGGAAAAAATAACTAAAGGAATAAAAAGGGAGCACAATAGTGGTATTTCTACCATCTTTTTTAGGGTTGGTAACCCTGCATGTTATTTGTAACAGTAGTAGGCAAACAAACAGAGGTCATGGAAACTCCATCCTTGAAGGTTTTCAAAACTTGGCTAGACAAAGCTTTGGCTGGGATAATCTAGATGACCTCCTGAGGTCCCTTCCAACCCTAACTTTATATGATTCTATGATTCAAACAGAGAAGTATGTTTCCCATCCCCCTGGCCCCCACCATCCTACTTTATTTTATTGCTTCCCATTTTTCTAGAGACATTGACAGGATTTTTATACCCACCAGTGTTTAGCCACTAGTAGCCCAGCCCAGAAAATTGCTTAAGTCTAATGAATTTATGAATGAGACGTTCATTGTACCAAGGTCTGTTTGGATCTATAAGGGATTTCTTAGTGAAGAGCTTCTTATTTTGAAAGCAGAGTATTTGGATTTCATGGTTTTGATATAGAAAAAAAATTAGTCTTCTGTAGTTTGTATTCTCTATGTATAAAGTGTCTTAAATTTTGCTTTGTAGATTTTCTGGGTGGTCAGCTGGAAATTGAGTCTGCCATCTGCAATATTTAAGCAAAAGAACCTAAAATTGAAGCTTTCTTTTATAAACAGAAGTATAGACTAAATAGGGCATTGCTGAAGCTGCTGTTAATTACTTTCTTACAACTGAAATAGAAAGAGAAGCCAGAATCTGACTGAGAGAAACCAAACGCTTGGTAGGTAAAAGAAGCAATGAGTGACTGGCTTGTGGGCAACAGAAAGGCATATTCTTGGAATTTAGGGAGAAAGAGATTGGATCTGTGTAAGCACTGAAAAGTAAATTGGGCCCCTGAAAGGTTAAAAAATGGCAGACTGAATTCAAAATTTGAGGTAAAGCCCAAAAGGAGTGTGCATTTGAGATACTAATTTTGTGTATTGTTTCATTCCCTCCTGAGTCAATATGCCATTTTAAACAAGAAAAACTTTTATTGCCTTTTGAATAATTTATCTTG